CCATCTTACCAGAGTACTACGACCACTATGTTGACATCATTATGTAGCAACAGGATCAACACACTATCAACAGCTTAATTCAATGACTGCTAGAGCACGACAAGACTCTACAGTCCAGGCAAGGAGAGAATTCATCAGTGAATGTGGTTGCCACATCTGGAAGTGCCATGGCAGTTAGGAGTCCTAAAAGGATGGGACCTCCAGTCCATGGAATAGCTCTTGCTGCGTGAGTTACTACACCTGGCATGAGGGCTATGTGAGGTAGAGGAAACTTTCACTGAAAAGCAAATCGCAACCACCAACTTAGAAAAAGAAAGCAAGGAGAAGGACAGCAAGGTAGTGGTCTACTTGGGAGAAGACGACTAGAATGCTGGAATTATGGCAAAGAGGTCCACAGGAAGAGGAAATGTTGGTGTCTTAATCAGAACAGAAACCTGAGATCGGAAGTAAGAGAATTCAGAATAGAAGCCAGTAATAGAAGAGACACTCATGCCGGTGCCGGCTATGTGTTAATGGCAACTGCAGCGGGTTTTACTCTTGCTATAAACCAGATGACTATGCAATCTGATAGTCTAAAAGGAGCCTGACTTGTAGACTCGGGTGCTTCCCACCATATTGCGAACAGGCGTGTAGACTTTGTCACGTATACAATTCTGAATCCTCTACGAAGCATCTATCTCGGTGATAATAGCTTAGTGCGAGCGGTCGGAATTGGTACTGTGCACCTCTATCTTGTTGAACAAGACTGCTATATTAGAATTGAAGCACTTCACATACTAGTAATGAGTTTGTCACTACTATCAGTTAGTTATTTATATATCAGGATGAACATAAACTTCAGAGAACAAGTCTGTAAGATCTCTAGAAGAGATGATAATGGTCCGGTCACTTGTTTAGCGCATCTTGATTTATCTAGTAGCCTCTGGAAGACGATTAGAGGTCCTGTCAATAGTCACCATATAGCGAAGATAAACTTGACATCTGTGAGGATGGCTACCTTGCCTTCACTCCAGCGCTGGTATCAATGACTTGGCCATCTAAATATGCATTCCATAAAGGTATTAATACCACAAGAGGATTGAGACAAAGATAATGTATCTAGTATCAGGTGCCCAGTCTGTCTTCACTCCAAGCAACATTGTCGATTTGTGCGCCAAGCAGTTCAATGAGCAAGTCAACCCTGTAAACTGGTACATTCGGACATGTGTGGTCCAATATCAACTTCCTCTCCTGGTGGTACGCGATATTTCATTTTATATATAGATCACTATAGTCGCTATACACAGGTCTACTTTTTTTCAGGATAAGTTATCCAATACAGTTACTGCATGCTTTCAAGAGTTTATTGCTTGGATATCTATGCATTTTAAGAATTGAAACTTCAAATTCTGTCGCTTTAGATGTGATAATTGGAAAGGCGAATATTACAATTCATTATTTTGTCAGATTCTACAGGGAACTGGAATACAATATGGGCCAGCTCCTCCATATACACGGCATTAGAATGGTGTCAGTGAATGCATGATTGGAACAATCACCACAAATGTAAGATCGATGATACCTGACTCTTGCTTGCTGCCTGAGTTCTTGGCTGAGGCAGTGTAAACTGCAACGTACCTGCAAGTGAGATCGCCAATCCGAGCAAAGAAGAAAAAGACTCCACATGAACTTTTGTATGGCTCCCAGCCTACTCTATTCCATCTTTGGCATTTTGGTTGCCTTGCGTACAAATTGATACCAAAACCACAATGTGGAGATAAGAAGTTTGGTAGCTGAATACCAGAGTGTATCATGTTAGGCTATGTACATGAAAGGGCTAAGATTTGGCATTTATGGAATCTGGGAACAAAGCAAGTCATCCAAGCCTCTGATATATGTTTTGATAAAGATAGGATTGTTAGAACAGGGACTGGTGCTAGTCCTGGAATGTGAGGCGATGTGCTAAAAACTGTAATACCTCCAAGTGATGACCTTATCTGGAAGGAGCTCATCTGGGATGACAGTGGAGCTGAGATTAGTAGTGACCTCGAAAATGAGATTTCTGTTCTCTACTCTGATGAGAGTGCAAGTAATCTCAGTCAAAAGATACAGATTGAGGGAGATATCATGCCCAGATGCCAAAATGTGAAAAGCCCTGTACAAGGTGAAGCAATTTACGTGTAGCCCTACAAACCAATTCCTGGTGAATCATACTGGAGCTACTACCAGTAATTTGATAGGAGGCAGATGTCAAGGACAACAAGTAAGTAGTTTTAACATAGAGGAGAAGGAACAGCAGATGAAGACATATAAAGAGAGTAATATAATACACTACAAGGGCACCGGTACAAATCTGGATAAATCCTCCACTCTGAGCTCTTGTGAGACAAGATTGTGAACCTCAAGTCAGAATTGGAAAGGAAAGCGAACAGCTCGAGGTCCTCCTAGTCCGAGCCCTGCTGACAGAATCTTACGTCACTTTAAAAGAAGACAGCATCAACCAAATATCAATATCACTACGCAACAATTTGGAATAGACCAATCCGATGCTTCTGGCCTTGGTAGAAGGGATAGCATGGATACTCCTGATGATTCCCTCTGTTATGAGGATGCCATGCAATATACACATTGGCGTACTGCCATGAAGGAAGAGTTTTACTCATTAACTGAGCATAAAACCTGGGAGCCATGTTTGGCTGACATTGATGATGGTAAAAAGATCATTGGGTGCAAGTGGGTATACAGGACTAAGATTGATGCTGATGGAAAGAAGAGATACAAGACTAGACTAGTCATTAAAGGCTATGAACAAATTCATGGTATTGACTATGATGAAACCTTTGCGCCGGTAGCCAGACTGGGTACTCTTCAGATGATATTATCCTTAAGCATTTCTAAAGGGTAGTATATCCATCAAATAGATGTTGTTTCTGCATTTCTGTACCCTGTGATTGATAAAACTGTCTATATGGAGCCACCACCTGGCAAAGAATAGCTGGACAAGGACTTGGGAGATCGCATATACAAGTTGAAAAAGGTACTATTTGGGCTGAAGCAGGCACCCAGATTGTGATTTGAAGAGATAGATACCTCTTTGAGACAAATGGGCTATATACACTCAGAGTCAGATACAAACCTTTACCTTTCTCCAACATCAATTGTTATACTCTATGTTGATGACATATTGATTGCTTCTTCATCAATAGATGAGATAAGGAAGACTAAGAGTTTCCTGAATAGAAAGTATTAGATAAAAGACCTTGGACAGGTCTGACAGTTCCCAGGACTTGAAATCAGTTTTGGAAATGGTTGGATGTCATTGCATGAGTCATGATTTATTGAAACCATTCTTAAACGATTCAGAATGACCCATTGCAATGGTGTTTCTACACCAATGGAGTTACACATCCGCCTATTACCGGTTACTAGCAACAGTAATCCACCAGGTTTGGTAACTGACGTGATGGCAGATATTAACCAAAACGACATTCCGATGCAATTAGATCCAGAAAAGCAGCGCGAATATCATGGTGTTGTAGGTAGTTTGATGTATCTTACTATTGCAACAAGATCCGACCTTGCTTTTACAGTCTCGACCCTCAGTAAGTTTAATGCTATTGCCAATACCCAACACATGGCTGCCGCGAAATGAGCCTTGCGATATCTGCGATATATCACCGATCTTGGGATTTGTTATACAGTCAACAATACAATCTGCCGGATCCTTCCCTGGCTATTCTGATGCGGATTGTGCTGGTGATACTCAAGACTAGAAGTCTACGAGTAGTTATTTGTTTCTCCTCGAAGGTGGTGCTGTATCATGGCAAGCACAGAAACAGTCAAATTGTGGCCTTGTCGACAAGTGAGGTAGAGTATATAGCTTGTTCAGAAGCTTGTTGTGAGGCAATTGCACTTCGAAGGATACATGCAGATCTTCTAAAGATTGTATCACTTCAAGATAAGAACCACCTCTGTTACCCCCTTCCTCCGACTATGATACTTGTTGACAATCAAGGTGCTTTGAATCTGGTGCAAAATCCCGGTTTTTATCGTTGAATGAAGCACATTGAACTCAAGTATTACTATGTGTGTGAAATGTATTGGTCCCATGAAATTGATATCGACTACATCTCCACACGCATGATGATGGTGGATATACTCACTCAACCTCTCACTCGTGAGCTTTACTGGAGGCATGTCAGTGGCATGCGTATGATGGGTTCCATGAGGGAACTCCTAGACCATTAGAATATTTTGTTTTCTTTCACTTGTTAGAGGTATTTGTGGAGGATGGGTAAGTATTGGATTGAGTAGTCTTCCCCTAACTCCTGGAACCTTTTTTCCTGATCTCAGGTTTTTGGACCAAGAGCAGGAGTTTAAGGAGGCTGCCCATTGGTTGAATTATTCCTCATTTTTTATTTTGTTTATCATCATTATATGTTTCGTTCAAGTTAGAGATATGGAATGAGAGGAGGTGTTGTGTCAGCATTTCATATCTGGTTAGTTATGTGTTTGGACCGATAACTATGAAGTAACCATGAGTGATAGTCTGTGTTGGTGGAAATGAGGCCACGCTGTACACAAGTATTGGGTTGTGGGAGCGAGCTTGCTAAGTTATATATAGGGGGGCTTATCCCCACTTTGTAGCAAATTAAGTCAAGAAATCTCAACATTGTCCGAGGTAGATAAGCTGGGTCTGCGATAGTCTTAAGAGGAGAGAAGCGAGGTTAAGTAGAAACTGAGGATTTTAAGAGGCGAAGGGGGCTGGGAAGTAGAGGAGGAAAGACATTAAGAAGTGGGGCAGGAACAATGTAAAGACGCGGGCCAGGAAGTAAGAACGTTAAGAGGGGAGGGAGAAATGGGGTCAAGAAGGAAGGGAGAAAGGAGCTTATACGGGGCGCGAGGAAATTTTCTCATACCACGGAGTCCCGCATGGGGAAGCCCGCGAGAAACAGTCACTTTCCATCATACTTGTATCCATTTCTCACAAATACATCCGCTACCTCTAGGCTGATCTCCGGTTGTGGCGAACCCTGCTTTCTGCTTTCTCATCTATCTATGATACTTAATGCTATAGAAGCGTGAATTTGAGCCACTCTCTAGAATAGTCAAACATCCTTTAATAGCCCTCTCGCACCTCCGAATCGAAACCTACCCTATTCGCCCATTCACCGCTCACCCCCATTGGAGTCATTGAATGCATTAGCAATTAGATCCACCAGTCTTTCTTATACTCCCAAGCCTTGTCGATTTCTTTCCCAATTTCCCATATGTCACAATCACGGTGGCCCCACTTTTCCGCAAAAACCGTCCGGCCAGTCCTAATCCAGTGCCTCATGGCTTTTTCGAAGCCCTAAGTGTTATTAGAAAATGTCAGCTCCCTCGAGGTAGTATGAATATTATAGGCGAAGGTACTTACTACTGGGTTCCGATAGAAGGGTTCACCTTTTCCACCACGTTGCTCCGATTGCCAAAGGTTGCGACCGTATTTTGCTTCGCTCTTCGAACGCTGAATATCTTCGAGCAGTTTATGTAGATGCTTGAATCTCTCACTGTTCAGAGGCTCGCTTGGTGTCTCGGGATAGAAGACCGAGAGATCGGGTACAGTCCCCCCTACATCGAAAATATGCCCAACATTCTCGTCAGTTGTAGTGTAATTCTTCATGTGCAGCCTTGCATGGAAATCGCAATCTGTGATATAGAAGGGGATTTGTGTATCCCAACCCCCAATATCCTTATAAGCAGCCACATTGACCAAAGCCAAATGATCGTACGCAAAGAACCTGATTGCCCACTTCTCCGTCTTGTTCATGGAATTCCAGTTCTCGATAATCCTCTGGTAAAGGCTCCTGTATGGTTGTTGTTCCTCATGAGAAAGGACTGCAGAATCCATATGACTCCAGTAATAGTGCGCCCATTTCTTCCGGATAGCGGTGTAGAGAAAGAAATTTTGCAACTGAGCAAAGGAAAGCAAAGTAGGAGCGGTGATTATATTAACTCCTAGCGCCCTCAACCTCGGATAATCGACGAAGAAAGGATTTTGCAGGGTCAACAGCCCTAGCTCGTTAGAGTCCATCGTGCCGGTATTATCCACAACATAGATATCGACAGGGGGCCATCCAGCAGTTATATAGCTAACGACAGACTGCTGTAAAATAGGCCAATTTCTAGTGAATCCGATGAAAAGTGGAGTAGGGTGATGAAATTTCGGAGGTTGATTGACAACGTGGATTTGTGGAAACCGACCGTTGACAGCGTCAGGGAAAATCTCCACAGCGGGCTTTGGATCCGGGATGGGGGTCCTGAAGGGTATTGAAGGGGGGCTAATGACCACTCTTTCCTGGGGAAGCACATGGGCTCTGTACCCGATAATCAGGCCGACAGTAAGAAGCACGGCCAGGAAAGGTGCAAGGAGCCTTCGCCGAAAAGAAAGAGTGCATGCCATGGCAAAGAGTAGCAAAACCTGGAGTATTTTTTAAGGAGAGCGAAAGTGAGGGGGGTGGAGGAGAGGATTGTTGGCTGGTGGATAGATGGTTTGTGGGTAGTCGAGTGATGACCTAAAAGGTTCCCCTGTAGTACCACCCACCTGTGGGTATACGCAAACTCCAACACCCGATGAATTTCCGATTAGGCACAACTCACGTCACGAGACCAGACGCGCCGAGGATTTTGTGCTCCCCAATTCTATATTCTGAAACTTATCGATCCGAACCGACGTGGAGAATACTGGTGGTGATGGCACCATCCAGGACTTTGCACAGTCAGTGTTGCCGGACCTGCCTTGCCCGGCGAAAACAACCACCTAGGTAGTGTTACGAGGGCAGTGATTTAGAGTCGAGCTAAAATTCACCTTTTTCTATTTTTTTTTTGTTTTACCATTCTTCCGCGTACAAGGGGGAAATTTTCAGATGTGTTTATTCCAAGCAGAAACGATTAGTATTAAGAACAGGGTGCTTGACGATAATGCACCTTATCATAGCTCCTAAATGTTGGCCGACAAGGCAAGCGATATGCTTTCCCACCAGACCAGTTCCCGAATTCTTCCCTTCGATGATCGGACAAGGGATACTGTGATATCATACCCAATCGAGGGTTGCCCAGCGACTGCCGAGTGATGTTGTATGACCCGGTCGCAAGTCCCAACTCCAGCAATTCCAACTATCATATGGTACACAACTTGAGGTTGAGATATGGTGGCCGCTAGAAATGCCCCAAAAAACCGCGAAGTGATAACGGAAGTTCTCATTACTATTTATAAAGAGCAGTGCCTCCAAAATGCACATGCAAAAAAAAAAAAACTTAAAAACAACTGGGAGAGGGTATAAGGTAATGGAACAAGAAATATATGAAAGAAAGAAAGAAAGAAAGGTGAGAGTATTATCAAAAATTACAAAATCAGAAATGTGGATTTAAAATTTTGAAAAGTATAAATTGCTATGCATATGAGAATACACAGACCCTCATTTATCAGAGTGGCCAACACCCCCTTCCAGCACACTTAGAAAGCCTGCACATTCTTAGAGAGATTTCAAAGAGTTGTATCTTATAACTATAATGTAATTTCAACAAAATCCAATTCATAATACCATATATATTGTTGACATCTCTCTGACCAGAGGCCATTCACAGGATATATAGGAGGGGACCTCTGCGTACCTCTGTGAAGTAAAATAGAGAGAATCCATTGGAGGTGCACTGAGCTACTAGGCTTCAAAGTTAGGTATTCTAATTATAGGCTGAAAGTAATGGGACATTTTTGTAACAATAATCTGCAATGATTCCTACAGTACCCTAGAGGCTATAGGAGATAGAGATGATACCAATACCGATCTCAGGGATATTGTATGTCGGTTGGTTCTGGAGACAGGATTCCTCTAGGGGTGATTCTCTCTGAGGTAAGGCAGATCAAAGAGAAGCTGCTCAGACTCAAAAGACCTCAGACTCATGGACAGTAGATATAAAGTATTGGCATGCTGATAAAGATACATCTTCTGACAGTGAAGATTTTATTAAAAAGTACAAACATGGTGTAAAAAAGTTCAGGGTAAAAAGGTAGCCGCACATGTTTAGACCAAGAACTGTGGTATAAAAATTAGGGAAAGGTATTTAGTTGGATTGTAGTTAGAAGTTGTCTGTGAACGCTCAGATACAGGATATAAATATCGAAGTACTTCCTGAGCTTTACAAACATCATGAACCAATGGAGAAGAGATCTGAATAATATAAGACTTGTTCTATTAACTAATCATTATTATGATATCTTTATTGTCTCCTCAAGTGAGTTCTTAGTAGCTATAAATAAACAGAACATTACTGAGCCTTCCGAAACAATCTCTGTCTATACTAAGGCTCTAGACTAGGTCTTCTTAATGTATACTAGAGTTGACTGCCACCTAATAGTTTATTGTTAGTTCTCCTTATTACTAAGGCTCATATGAGATTTATTATAGTATTAGAAACCATACCAGAAAATCTTTGTTGGTGTATCCTCTAAACCTAGGAAGTTCAATCAGGGAACCTGAATGTTTTATGATTATTATGATAGAATATCTTTTATATGATTACAATTAATCTATACCTTCTATGGCATTTACCATAGATCCATGTTAGATAAAACACATAGCTTTTACATAAACCATACAGTAGTATATCAATATACATCTTTAAATTAAGAAAAATTTGATATCAGATACGTCATTAATAGACAGTGACTAAAATACTAGCTACTCTGAAGCAGATGATATCCACAAAATATGGCTAAAACAATAGTCATACCAAGTCTACCATTATCAAACTACCTGGATTTACTTTTAGACTATAAGATTTCTTAGGAATGACTATTTCCATGTCCAAAGCAACTCCTGCACCTACTATGACTCAATAGATACCTTAATGAGTACTACATCTGTGGTAACCACTAACCAGATTTATTTTTCCACAACTCCAATGTGAGTACCCTCATTGCTATTTCAGAAATCTGGTAATTGGAGAATTCCACTAGGAACATCTCCATGCCTGATAGATCATAGAATTAATATGGTAAAATTAGTAGCTCGGATAGTGTTGGTTATGGGAAATTGAGAAGAAACCTAAACCAGTATACTAATATCTAGAATCTGGCATTAGGAGGTCTCTCCTTATTAGCCAAAGATAATTGTACTAAACTATTAGAAGTACAAGAATAAATATCAGCAGGAAATCAACTTATAGGAGGCTGATAAAGTACTATACCAAATGCTGCCACAGTATATGTACTTTTCCTTTTCTTTTTCTTCCTCTTTCAGTACTCATTTACCTCTCTTTACTTTTCTCTTATTTACTTCTTTTCTTTATTCTTTTGCAGGGGTCAATTTGAGCCTTTAATGAAATTTATGGTTTATGATGGAAGAAGTTCTTGTTGCTCTAGACCGGCATATTTGTTAAGGCAATGATATATTTTCTTCTTATGTTGCCTGTCAGTTTATCTTTCTTCTCTTCCAATATCATACCAATATAATGAGAGCTGCATCTGTGAAGATGGTTTCCAAGATTGCAACTGCACAGAAATGAATTCTTCAAAAAATGATGACAGTAAAAGTGTAAAATCTCAACTGTAGAATTTGAAGAAACAAACTGGTAAAACTAAGTATCATTAATTGGCTTTACTCAATTAAGTCATGATCTTAAGAGGTAGTTTATTGTCAGAGTAGAGGAGAACTTGTATATAATTAAGTAGATTTCATATACTGCCAGTTGCTCTCCATTACTACGCAGTATTCGTGAGCACTCAACTCCCATGGGCTATCAAACTAAGCTCTATGGATGGGACTAAAGATCCTCTGTAGTGAACTAGACTACTCAGTGGTTTGCTAAGATCTACTAGAAAGAAGTGTTTTGGTCGCTACATCAATAATACAACTGCAGGTACATAAATACTAGATATCGCAGACATGTTAGTAGCAAGCTAACATGCTCGGGTGGATGCAGTAGGAACTATGAAACTCTTTACCCACATACACTTAGTCTTCTACAAGCATCTGCAGCTTCTGAACATCTATCCAGTTCTACTATATTCTATATCATTCCAGATAATGGCTATGCAGTTCTTCTGTTAAACCCCTTCGAACGTTGGCTACCAATAGATACTATCCACAGTCAACCATCCTAGAAGTAGTTCTGATAATGACCTCAGACTTGCATTTTAGAGTCCTTAACACTTCACTAATACTATTACACTTTTGGGACAACCAACTTCTATTACCTCTTCTATAGGCCTCCGATAACTACATGTACTACTTCTTACTTCAAAGTAGTATTACTCTATCATTTCTCATCAATTTTGCATGAAACTATGGGGAAACCATTCTCCAGGTTCTCCTCTACCTCCTTTTTTATGTGGAGAATGGAGACCAGTAAATCAGATAGCATGAGCATATATGGTATTACAGAAGTGTCTTTACCACAGACCATTACTAGACTTATGGCAACTCGCCTGACTGTAGCCCATGATGCTTGGGACATATAATGGGGCTCAGGGAGGACATTAGCCACTAAACTTCCACGTTGCAGCTAGTTCAGAGCAAGATGAGTTGCGCGGGAGTAATCTGCACAATTAGCGATTCAAATATCCTATATACTTTCGCATAATAAATAATCTAGTCTGTTCTTCCGAGGTCCTGCATAACAAGTTATATCCAAGGTAGGGTAAATTGGCTCTATAGTAGGGAGTCAAGTCATCCAAGGCAGGGTAACTCTAGTTCAAAGGCAGGGTAACTTTATCCGAACTCACTATAGTGTAATTTAGGATAATTCCTAAATTGACTACTAAGGTTACTCAACAGAGTAGGGTTACCACTTCTCCTTACTAGTACTTATGTACTTCTTAGAATAGTATAGCATGTCCAACTGAGGTACCTAACTAATAATACCTGTATTGAGTAAATTCTGGTCTACAACTATTTGTACTACAGTAATTTCTTGACGCTGGTATGGGTGTAAGTTTGGCTTTCTATTTATTTTCTTTTCATCTTTTTATTTCTCCAGTTCTATATATAGCAAGGTCCGGTGGTCCAGCCAGCTTGCATTACGGAGATCCTCACTTCCAGCCCACCTTGTTCTCCAGCAGCCAGAAGAGGAATGGTAAAACTAAAAAGACTATCAACAGAAGCCAGGTGCCTAATCCACAGATCCAACAACTTGAACATGAAGGGGTCTCACTTTAAGCTACCGATACTGTTAGGAATACAGGGATCTGATACCTAGGAACCACTCTAAGTAGGGTAACCCTACTCAGAATAGGAATCTCTGCTCTCCAACACTCTCCTCTAGCCCCCATACAGGCCCATACATCGTCATACACATCTATCTCAGTTGCATCCAGTGACTATAATACTACAGAATTGAAGATGCGTGGGTAACACCATATATGTAGCGGCTGTCCATCTGACTGGATCCTGTTCACAGGGCATATAGGAGGTCGCCTGCAACTATGTCCGGGAAGTGGAAGGAAGTAAATGTATTAACTACTCAGAGAGCTACTGGGCTCC